TAAACGTTTTCTGTTTAATTTAATTGCAATTTTATTTTTGTTTTTCTGAGCAAAAAATTAATATCATACATTTGTCCCTGATTTACAGAAGAGACACACTAAAATGTTACACTGAATGACAATCTTGTCAGGCATATTTACAACAAAAATCAATTTATGACATTAAATAGATTTTTGACTAATTGAAAAGACTAATTACTTTCACCCCAAATACTAATTAGTTGTAATTTTACATTTCTAAAATTTGCCAGGTTTTGCCCACTTGTCAGTAAGAAATTTGTACTCATTTAAAACACAATAAAATTTAATATGCTCTCTTATTCTTTTATATATTTTAATATGTACAGGTCAGAATAACCATGTTGTTGAATTTTTACATAAATATTGTGTTACACTGAATGACAATGTAATATTATTTCAACCAAATTTTGACATTTTATCCTCCAAAAACTTATTTGAAACCTTAAAAGTAGACACTTTACTTACATTTAATGTGCTTTCTATGGACATATAATCACTTTTGTAAATGTATTTTGATGCGGACATCTTAACGTCTTTGACCCATATATATATAATGCTGTTTATAAATCGGCAACATTTTCAAAATGAGGAAAGAAGTGATGAAGATGATGAATGAATGAGAAGAGCAGAACAGAGCAGAGGACTTACTGTTACACTGAATGACAATGTAACATTATTTCAACCAGATTTTGACTTTTTATCCTCCAAAAACGTATTTGAAACCTTAAAAGTAGACACTTTACTTACATTTAATGTGCTTTCTATGGACATAAAATCACTTTTGTAAATTTATTTTCATGCGGACATCTTAACGTCTTTGACCCATATACATACGTGTGTGTATTTATATGTACATAATAAATATAGACAGTACACACACATATGTGACCGTGGACCACAAAACCAGTCATAAGGGTCAAATTTTGGAAATTGAGAAAAAAATAAGCTTTCCATTGATGTATGGTTTGTTAGGATCGGACAATATTTGGCTGAGATACAACTATTTGAAAATCTGGAAACTGAGGGTGCAAAAAAAAAATCTACATATTGAGAAAATCGGCTTTAAAGTTGTCCAAATTAAGTTCTTAGCCATGCATATTACTAATCAAAAATTAAGTTTTGATATATTTATGGTAGGAAATTTACAAAATATCTTCATGGAACATGATCTTTACTTAATATCCTAATGATTTTTGGCATAAAAGAAAAATTGATAATTTTGACCCATACAGTGTATTGTTGGCTATTGCTACAAACATACTAGTGCTACTTATGACTGCTTTTGAGGTCCAGGGTCACACACAGTGTGTAAACGAACTTTTTTTGAATGCGATTGATCGCGATTAATCGTTTTGCAGCACTATTTGCCAGCAAGTTCTTTGATTTGTCTGCTGTAAAGCTACCGTAAACCTAAGCTGGATGGGCTTTGTGCTGGCTGTGACACATACTTCCAGATAGAGCGAGGAGCTAGAGCCGTGGCTCATGCGCTGGGCGAGGCCGTCTCTCTGGAGAATGCATTCCTCCAGGTGGATGACGTTGGGATGCTGGCTCTGGATGCTGCTCAGGGCCCAGAACTCCCTCAAGGCCAGCTCCACGTTCTCCGGGGAGTGACAGCGGATCTTCTTCACAGCCACACGAGCTCCGGTCTGCCGTACAGCTGCCTCGTAAACCACACCGTAACTGCCCCGGCCCACCTCCTGGATCAGCTCGTACTTGGCTTGACTGCTCACCATCCTCTTCTCCCTCACCTGTATGGCCAAGACACAACAATCCATGACTGGAGTCACTGTAGTATTTGTTGGGAACTTTCAATGACAAACCTAACTTGTGACTGAAGTATTTTTTGCGCCACTAATCACACCAAACAGAAATGCCAGAACATCATTTTTTTTAAGCAGGTGTAGACAACAAATGCCATTTAAAGCTTGAACTTAGTATTCACAATATACTAGTATCATACTCACCAAACTAAAGATTTTTTTATATATTTCAATATAGAATTATTTTAGTAGTATATAATATTCCATTTTGTTAATATTTGGAATTCTGAGTTTTCATTTAAATTTTGGATGAAGTTTTAGTAATTTTGTTGTGTGTTTTTTTTTTGTCATTTTCATTAGTTAAATTTGAATTGCTTTAGTACTAGGGTTGTAAAGGGGTGGAACATTTCCGGTAAGTTTCCCGGAAACTTTCCAAAAATCCCTGGAATATTCCAAAAAATCCTGGAAAGTTTCCGAAATTTACTGGAAATTTTCCACCTTTTTGCAACCCTATTTAGTGCATTAACTTAGTGAAATCTGAGATAAAATAAGGTATTTTATATATTTTATCTTACTTCAGTTGATGTTCATTTTATTTCTGAATTCATTAAGTTCTGAAAATGTGTATAACAGAATAATTTAAGGACACTAGAATCTTTAGATTGTCCATTTTTCATACTGTACATTATAACGATGCAATTCCAAAATTCACATGTAAAATTATTTCAGTTTTAACATTTAGAGTTTCTATATTATAGTATAGACTGTAAATTCTATAGTATACATTTGCAATATTTCTAGTACAAAATAGTATAGAATTTTTGGCAACTTTGTTCATATAATGGTCATAGATGTTAGAATTTAATATCAGTGCACTTTTATTCCAAAGCAGGGATGACAATGGAAGCAGAGAATTATGAAGCACACAAAGCTCATCACCACTATGGATCCATCTGGCATGACACCCATATCAATATCATCTGCAATGTTGATTACAACTGTACAGCAGAAAACATAAACCTGCTATGGCCCATTAGAGCAGCAAGCGGTCGTATCAGGTTTCTCTTAACATCACTTGTTACACAACAATTAGTCTCAGACTCAGACAGACTGTCCGATACATACACTACTCTAAATTGGCAAGAGCTGCCAATCCAACTTGCACTGCATTGAACTTGCAACACTACTTCTGGGAGTCAGGGTGTACAAGGTTTGTTCAGTCTCTCAGGAAAGAAAACGGTTTAATAGCATGAGACTAGTCACAGCATTTACAAACATTTGTAGCATTCAAAACCATTAATATTTGAAAGATATTCAGTTTTGTTTGAGGTAATGAGTAGCAAAGCATCACCAAATGTAGCCAGTGAGTTACCTCTAATCATAAAGTAATTTTCCATTAAAGGGGTCATATGATGCGATTTCAAGTTTTCCTTTCTCTTTGGAGTGTTACAAGCTGTTCGTGCATAGATAAGATCCGTAAAGTTGCAAAAAAATAATGATCTTTAAAAAAACATCATATGACCCCTTTAACATTATTCGAACAAGCTGAAATTTGAGGTACACCAACCAAATATCGTGGCAGTATCAATTTTCAGATTTTACGTTAAAAAAAAACAACTGTGGTTGCTTGCTTTTCATGTGGGTCAGATATCAGCTGCTTTCTGTCTAGTGGGTGGTGTTTGGCCAGACACTAGCTACATAATGAAATCGACTTGTCAATAGTCTGGCTCTTCAAGATAATACAAGAGTGGGCTTTATCTCACTTATTTGCTGCATAACAGTTTGTCTAAAAGAGGTTTCCAAGAACTTTTGAAAAACAGACAATATTTTAGTGTCCAAAGGTATGAAAGTCATGCGATCCATAACAACTTCCTCTTTTAGAGCAACAGCAGTGTTAGGAGTTCACATTCAGACCACTTAAAAGGCAACTTTGAATCCATTTAATATTTATCATTGGACGTTGTGTTTTGCTATTGTAATTACCTTTGGTTTTTGAAACAGCTTGAGCATATTTGTCTCTATGAAAATATATTTTTTTAAATGTTGCTATTGTAAGCTTATTTTCATCTGCAAGTGTCTCATATTCAGTTAACTCCACGCATTTAACCGCAAACTCTCGTTCAGTAGTCCATTTGTGCGCCAGACGTTAATAATGAACCCGTAAAAACATTTCGCTTAAAGGGATAGTTCACCCAAAAATGAAAATGTGATGTTTATCTGCTTACCCCCAGGGCATCCAAGATGTAGGTGACTTTGTTTCTTCAGTAGAACACAAATGATGATTTTGAACTCATTCGGGAGTGGTTTGCATAACATTGATGGCTAATACGAATTCATATAAATGATTTAGCTTAATTAAAAAAATGTGACTAGTAGTCTCTTGCCTGTCAATTTTATAAGACAGGCACAGGGCGCGCGCAAGAGGACTCTCCGACGCGGACGCGCCGCTGAGCGCGAATACGTGGAATACTTTCCACGTATTCCCAACTTCTGAGCCTGCTCGCCTGAAGTTATGGTTGATTGCTCTTCGGCTGGATATTAACACACCCATTAACGTAAACTACGCCAGAGCGCGTACACACCTCACGCACCGGATGCCGTGCGCGCGCCCAAAGACAGTTGGACATAGTGGTGTATTAGAGGTAAAATATGATATAAATACTGTTCGGTTTCTGGCACAAACCGATCGTTTCGTGTCGTAGGACATCAATGTGTCGTCACGAGCCGCAGGGTTTAATTTGGATTTGTCTGTGCATGTTTTTTTTACTCTCATAGATTTTGTTACCATTGCCATGCATTATACGACTGATAGACTGCAACGGTTGGAGTTAAAAATCATCAAATGTGTTCTACTGAAGAAACAAAGTCACCTACAACTTGGATGCCCTGGGGGTAAGCAGATAAACATCACATTTTCATTTTTGGGTGAACTATCCCTTTAAGACCGGGATTTGACTAATCTTTTTTTTTTTTACTTAAAAGGCAGGTTTAAAATTGTTTGGAGTTAAAATTTGTTTGGATGGATATAGGGTGGCTTATTATTTTATTTTCAAATTTAACTAATACAAATATTTGAATTAATTTGTTACTACTTATAATACCTATAATACGTAAGTGCAAATCTCTTGTGTTGACTTGTTTCCTACTGAAACAAGACAGTAGGGCGGGACATACAGAAAGACCACGCCCCTTTTCAAATAGTTAACCATGACTCGCTACTTAGATCACATTTTATTACAAGTTAGTGGAAAGGACATTATCTTTGCCTAGAAGGCATTTGATTGGGAACAAAAGAAAGAGAAAACCCGTACACACATCCGAGTGCAAGAAGATGCGACACAACTCCACTTTTGCATTTTTGGAAATCATTCAGTTGAATGAAAGTTCCACTAAAATAGTCATTACTCATGTATGCACAAAAATATCGCATGATAATTGTTCTAAAAGAGGTTTCTTTAGAAAAATCTCTCGCTTTTGTACCGGAGAGATCAGAGGCATTTTAAAACGCAGTTAGTGCAAATGGTAAACAAACGCGACAGCGCTGCCAACACGTGTGTGTGTGTGTGTGTGTGTGTGGAAGCAGCTTGACACGAGGAAACAGCGATCAAAGGGCAAAGCTAGCATTACACACTCACTGTTTAACTCTGGCTGAGGACAGTGAAGCAGAAATCGCAGTCGTGTTGTGTCAGTAATGCAGTCATGTGCCTGCGCTGTGTGAAAGGCCTGTCGGTTTTGTCTGTTTCTCCTCAGCAGCAGCAGCCCGTCACACGAGAGCAGATACGCTCGATGCTCATGTGTTGCTGTGACAGAAGCAGTTAAAGGTGTGTTTCATGACACAACGCTTCCAGCGGCGGCATGCACCTGCGCAGCAGCACGACACACACATGCTCGCACAAACACACGCACGAGAGCAGCATTTACCTGTGCTCGACGTTATTCCCAATGTGGCTGATTTCCCTCTGCTCTGCTTCTCCCGGCAGCCATTATAAGCGCGGGTCCGCCGCACACGCGCCTCGCCTCTCTTCCTCTCAGGCAGCTGTGAGCGCGTGCCCGTGCGCGCACTCGCGCTCAGCGGCGCGTCCGCGTCGGAGAGTCCTCTTGCGCGCGCCCTGTGCCTGTCTTATAAAATTGACAGGCAAGAGACTACTAGTCACATTTTTTTAATTAAGCTAAATCATTTATATGAATTCGTATTAGCCATCAATGTTATGCAAAAAAAAAAAAGACAATGACAATGACTGAAAAATTCAGAATGTTTCTTACACTGTAGATCCCATATAATAGTTTATGATGGTTTTACAGAAATGACAATATTGCATAAGGCTATATAGGCCAAGAATATGCTGTGACAGGCTAAAACTAGCAAATAAGAACACAGGAGGGGGAAAAACTTCAGACAACAAATGCACACACACACACACACACACACACAAAGTGCTCTCAAACAAGAAGATCCAATTGCAGCTTTTATTAAAGAGTCCAAAAACAGTAATCCACATCGGGGCAAAATGCAGAAAAACATGCACAAGGTAATCCGCAAAAAGGAAGCTGCACAAACAGAGCAACAGAAAACACTCGGAAACAGAACTCAATACTGACACAACAAAAGACACAATGAGCACGGTATATATCAGATTGAGCTAATAGGTGAATGACAAACAACTGAGGTTTATGTGAAACAAAGTCCAGAACAGACAAACAATGATCCAGAAGTAGTGCCCTCTGGTGGCTGACATGAGCACTCCAGCAGCTGGCTGAGACTGGCTGTGTTTTCACGGCTTTGTGTGTGTGTGTGTGTGTGTGTGTGTGTGTGTATACTGTATATATGGTATACTGTATTACAATGTAACTAAAATTCCCTTTTAAGAGAACTTGCACTGTGTCGGAATGCTTTTTTTTAAGGTAGGTCTAACATTAGTTTCAGGTACATATATTGAATAAAGTAATGAAATGTAAAACAGCATTGCATATTTGACTGTATAATGTTTGGGCATATGTGAACACGGCAATCGCTCCAAAACAATCGGTCCAAGATCGCCTGAACGAGGTGGTCTCGGCTCGATTGAAAACGAACTCTGGAGCGGTTCGGT